GAAAAAGAATTATATATATATATATATATATATGAAAATATAAAAATGAAAACCAATTCAAAATGTTAATAAAAACCCTCAATGATATTAAAATATAACTGGTAAAATATTGGTTCATACACATTAAGAGTGGAAATAAGGCAAAAGCAAACAGCTTCTCTGGTCCGGCTGTTTTTATGTCTGAATCCGGCCAACATTCGGTCCCAAACATACTGCAAATAAAAATATTTTTATTAGTTTTAAGCACAATTGATTTAACATTTCTCTAAAGCAGGAGGCTGTAAGTGTCTCACCTGTGGACTGGCCGCTTGGTCCATGGTTTTTAACAGAAGAGACTGCGCTTGATCTCGAACCTGGTCCTTAGAGTCCCCTAAACGATCGATTAAACTGGGCAGAACTGAGAGAAAAAAATCTAAATCAGTGCATAAAACTTTACAATATTTACTCAAAAAGTGTGCATTTGTTATTAATAAAATAAAACATTATTTAAAAAATAATGCAATAAATATTCAATATTATTAAAGAAACATTTTCACCTGTTCCTATCTGTGTTCTGAAGCGCTCCTGTAATCTGGTCACTAACGCAGACACTATGTCCATTCCCAGCAGCGCCACCTTAAAAAGACCAAACTTATTCATCAAAATAAGATTAAAGTAGGATATTTCAATAATAACATCGATAACTTACATTACAAATGACATTCAGTAACATTTACAAGTCAAAACGGCACTGAAAGCATTTTTTCTCCGAGTCCGACTGTGTATGCAAATCTAAGCTGCAAAGGATTATGGGTAATGTCCACTAAACTGCGTTTTATTGTCAAATATTCACAAAAACAGGGTCAGTTTCTAGTAAATGGTCACAGGTTCTGTGACAGTGAAAGGTGTTGAATCAGATAAGCACACTATTTGAGCTGAACAGCAGAGTTTGTGTTTCTTCACAGTCACCGTCGTCGTGAAGAGCAGCAGGGCTGTAGGAAAGCATTGGGATGAGCGCTTGTTGATATCTTTCCTTGTCTGGGGGTGGATTGGGCTGTTCAATGAACGTGTAGTGAGAATAGCTCTGCTGACACCTAACCAACACAAAACGCATCACCTGAACTGCGGTGTTCAGGCTATGGTGCAATTTTTGGAACCTATAATGGAAATTCCGTGTAAAGATTAACAATGACTGTAAGTAACAGCGATATCTAGAGTTAGTTTGAATTTTTAGTTTGTTTCGATATGTATACTTACACGAAATTTGTTCTATTGAACGTTCAAGATGTATTAAGTTATATATATATATTAAAAAATTAACTAGCGGTTTAAAATAAATTTTACTTAAGGCAATTTAGTGACTAGAAATTGGATAAAATTAAAGAAAATCGACTGCGCATTTTATGTGTGCAAATTGTCATTAAATTAAAATGATAAAATTAAAAAAAGTTAAATTGTTTAAAATTAAAGAAATAAATAGGTTGCTTCTATTTCCCTTATTTAATAAACTTTAAATTAATTAAATAAATAAATATATAGATTGATTTAATTTTTTTTTTTAAACAAATAAATGTAATAACAAAAATAGAATAAGTTATGACTGCGCACTTTATAATGAGTGCAAATTAGCATTAAATTAAAGTGGTACAATTATAAAAAAGTTCAATGGCACTATTGCCAAGATGCAGAGATTTTAAGAATAAGCTATATTAATGGGATTTTATTACAGTGATTGGAGCAGTGTCCTCAATTATACGATCAACAAAATAATAAAATAATATATACATATATATATATATATATATATATATATGTGTGTGTG